ATCATCTAATCTTCATAAGTTCAAGAACATAATATGAACACTTTCAAGAATCAAAAAATTACACTTAAAAAAACTTGTAATTTTAATAATTGCCATTGTAAATGGATTAGCATAAACATTACACCATCTAAAACAAGCTTTAAAACATCAAAACAGTTTAGGGTATGTTTCTAGTCCATTTCCAGCAACAAATGTGCAAACTTTCATACGAGCAAAAACAGAAAAACGATTTTTTTTTTCAAGCTGTTTGCACACAAAAAAAAACAACAAACAAACCTAGGCTCTGATAACCACTGATGGGTTTTGAGCATCTACTAACACTTCTAAGTGTACTGCAACCCTAATAACCTTGGATCTATGTTTGTCTAATAATTGCAAAGTTGAATTCCCAGGTTATATTCCTATCTAGCATACATGTGGAACATTTTTCACTTAAATGAAAGATAGAATAACTTACCTTGTTGTGGATTATGATCCTGGAAACCAAACCTTGTGAGCCTAGCACCCCAAGTTGGATGCCTCAAATGCTTCACACAACACCAAATGCAAAGGAGTAAACTTTGAGAGAATCTTACACTTGCAAAATCGGCTCTAGCCCTCTTGTTTCTTATGTGTAGCCAATTTTGGTGGAGAATGGGTTTCTTATATAGTGGTTGACACATCTAGGGTTACACCATTAACCCCTAATGTGTCATGTCAGTCATTCCCTGTTCCATGACCCATGGTTTGTAACTCCCATGGAGCATCCATGGAGCATCCTATGGGTGGAACCCAACTGGATAATCCATGGAGCCTCTTAGCCCACTATATAAGATATGGAAGATTTACATAATCTACCCATATATATTTAATTAGTTATCTTTTGATCACTTAATTAATTCTAAATTAATTCTTGATCAAACTAATTAAATAATATTATTAATATATTAGAACTTATAATATATTAATAAACCATAAGTGTTATTTCTCCTTTTAATTTTATCCAATTGCATGGTGCCATGCAACCCAAATGGACCATGCCGGGTCGGGTCAAGTACATACAAGAAATAGTTATGGACTTAGACACCTTATCCAACATACCCTTCCCTATGCTTTGCCCAATGCCCAAGCCCAAACCAACAATCCAAAAGGCCCAACTTCCATATAAACACCCAAGGCCCAATTTTCCAAATTGGGCCCGCAAAACACCTTTATGGGCCAAACTTCCAAAGGAGCCCAAAAGATACCAACCAGAAGCCCAAAAAGAATCTAATGGCCCAACAAGGTCCAACTATGAAAAACCAACAATAGATTAAACCTCAAAAGCCCAAAACACCCTGCTGAAGAGTACACACAACACACTAAAGACGTACGCCCCGCGTACTCGACCATAAAGCGCAACGTACAACAACCCGATGCACAAACCTCGCATTACGCCGAGCGTACTTCCTCGTATGCTCAACGTACTAGTCAGGAGTCCAAAAACCCTTACTTTGCTCTTAATAGGTTAAGTCAAGATGTCCAACACCTAGATATGGCCCTAACCAAGGTCTTAACCAGTAAAGTTTCCAACTTTACTCACAAACACCACTCAATGGGACTCAACACTTAAAGAAGGGACTAAATAAGAGCTTAATACATGCATGGACAAAACCTTTCATAAAGTTTCCATTTTTATGAACAAGGGACCTTGGTGGTGCTTAGATCTAACATCCACTACTTCTGGAGTAGATCAAAAGCTCACCATTTCATCAAAGGACTTAACAATGCCAAAGAACACCATGAAATATATCTAAACACAAAGATCATCAAGGTCAAAGCTTTTTACCTTTGGAAGCTAGAAAATAGAAAGATACTCTGGATCTAGAAGCTCAAACCACAACTCCACATGATTCTCTTCTTCTTCTCATTCTCAAGACACCCATCAAGCACATACAAAGCTCAAATAGGGTCCAAGACTCTAAAATATGGTTTTCATGAATTTGGAGTACACCCCGCGTACTCCTAGTACGCTTAGCGTACTCCTCTCAAGTTCCCGATCCTTCGTCTTCGTACGCCCAACGTACATCGAGGAACGCCCATCGTACATACCTTCGCATCAGTACGCCCCGCATACTCCCTATGTACGCCCCGCGTACTAAGGTTTTTGCCTTAGACCTTGCAATCTTCCGAAGGCTAGAACTCCTTCGTTATAATCCGATTCCGATGATCCTTATATCCACGAAGAGGTTACGAGATGCTCTACACTTCTATCAACTCATACTTTCTTTAAGATTTCCCGAACAAAAATACAATTTCCAAAAAGGCCCGAGTTGACATTTTACCAAAATGCCCCTTTGTTTCCAAAACACAAGCCGAACATCCGGATCATCCAAATTACATCATCCACCTCCAAATGAGCCCAAATCTCAATTATTCAAGGGTCCTAAGCCTGCTAATACCCAATCCCTGATCACCAACCCGAAATGGGAAACGATTTGAAACAGGGCGTTACATTATTCATGTTGAACAATTACTTGTTGAATGTAATGCCAACTGTCGCTACATCAGGCTATGGTTCTTGAGCTGCTTCAAGTTCCATGTGTCTCCCATTTGTTTTTTCATTAAAATCTTGCTTTCCGATAACTAAGATTTTATAGGAATAAGCGTTGGTGGGTTTGTATATAATAATCTAAAAACTCTTTTAGAGTATTCTACAAATATGTAATTATTAGATTTTGGGTTTTCAAGCTTTTGTCTAACATAGGCCTCAAATCCTTACAACATTAAGTAAGATAAGGATGAAGCCTTTCCATACTAAATCTTATAAAGTGTTTTATCTACTCATTAATTGGTGTTTGTATTCAAAATACAAGTGATAGTAATTAAGGAATAATCCCAAAAAGAATAAAGGAAGATAATTTCCACCTATTAGAATACAAACCATACCTATTAAGGTTTAGATCATCCTTTATTATCACTAAGGCTTTGGATGGTTCTAATGGTTTGTATCTCAACTTTATATTTGAAAACTTCAACATCGGTTTCACAGTTATGTTTTAACATGTAAAATATAATTACAACGATTATAGTTGTTAATTAATTTGATTAGGTATCTTGAACTAAATCTATACATTCATTAGAAAGGAAGTCATACATCACAATGTTTAGTTCTTTAATAATTATTTTCTTGCAGTTTAGTGAAAATTTAATTAGAAATATTTTATATATAAATAAGATTCACATATCTCAAATAAACTACATTATTTGTCTTTAAAAATCCAATTCTTAAAGTTGGAATATGTGAATTTCATTTATATAATAAAGATAACAATGTCTTAGATAAGTTTCATTCAAAACAAGTTTAATTCAAAAGTGTTCGCATATAGAACTTGTTATTTATAAAACATTGATATTTACTCTATAACTCTATTAAGAGATATAATTCTCTAAAACAAAATTTTAATCATTATATAATATGAATTTGATCGCTATGAAAAACTATTAAGTAAATGATCAGTTATCTAAATTATTAACTGAGACATTATATATTTAGACAGACTAAATTAAAACATACATTGTTCCAAAAAAAAAAACTATTTTACATTACAAATATTTTATCTTCCACTACTAGAAAACAACCCTTTAATGACGCGCAAACAATGACACGCGCTGATAGAGGACACACATTTGTGCGTGTCCTAAAAAATAATGTCAATTTTCTAAATTTTGAAGGATAAAGGACGCGCATTTTTGCGTGCCCTAAAATTAGTGTCCAACAAAAAAATAAAAACACGGAGGGCACCAATCATAAAAAGCGTGTCGTGTAAATGTGTCGTTTTTTTAGGAAGGCGCGTTCTTTATTTTTTATTAGCCATGAGGGGAAATGAAATCCCAAAAAATTAAACACCCCGCCTAATGCATCTCCTTCTTCTCCTTCTAAAATCCTCTACCAAAAACCCTAATAATCCTTTAAGCAGTTCGTCTTCCTCTACCTCTGCACACACACACACACACACACACACACCTCTCTCTCTCTCTCTCTCTCTCTCTCTCTCTCTCTCTCTCTCTCTCTCTCTTGGAATCAGATTCTTGAAAGATCGAAACCCTAACTACGACTTGTCTTACCAACCGAGATCTTCAAATCACAACGAAAGCGATGACCACCACGACAACCGTCAGCTATACAACCCTTACCAAGATCTTAGAGTCCCCGCACAAACCCTGTACAAACTTCCCACATCTCCTGAATACCTCTTTCAAGAGGAATCCATCGCTCAACGGCATTCATGGAGTAAAAACCTGACATACTACACCGATATCGGTTACCTCAGCGGCGCAGTAGTTGGTGCCGGGAAGGGTTTAGTAGAGGACGTGAAGGCTTCTGAGGCTGGAGACACCATGAAACTTAGGGTTAATCAGATCTTAAATGCTTCTAGATATGCAGGTCGGACGATCGACAACCGTGCTGGTGTAATCGGACTGTTGTACGCTGGTGTAATCGGACTGTTGTACGCTGGTGTGGAGAGTGGGATGGTTAAGGATAGGGATGAAGATGATATTATTAACAACGTGGTGGCTATATTAGCGACTGGAGCGCTTTAAAAGGCGGCAGCGGGGCCTAGGTCGGCGGCTGTTGCCGGAGCTATTTGTGGAATAGCGGTGGGATTAGCCGTAACGGGGAAGCTGATTTTGAAGAGATACGTACCGATCTGAGCTCGATCTGTATTCAATTTCATCTTACTACAAGTTTTGGTCTTTTGAGATTTCCAAAGGTGATCCATCTGTAGTCTTTTACAATATTTTAGTATTTTACAAGAACATAAGAAGAACGATAATTTTCCTAAACTCTCCTCTCTCGTCTCCTGATTTCTAAATACACCTCCCTATCCCTATTTCTATGACTTTGCTAATGTCCCTGCTATCTAAACTCATCAGACCTCACTCATCACTCACCCCTTCATAATCTGATTTCTATTTTCTCTAATTTCTCTATTTTCTGATTTCTAGATATCGACTTGGTTGTGGATTCTCCAATTCCTGATTTCTAGGACTGCAATCTAAAGAGTCATAAGAGTAAAGAGGGGATTTCTGAATTTCTGATTGGTTGATAATAAGACTCAAGGTTTAATTTTTATGCCCAACTTATAATTTCTTATTTTCTAGACTTATGATTTCCGGATTTCTAGAGTTCGTGTATTTATTTTCATATTTTTGTGTTTTGATTCAGGACTAAGGAGTTACATTTTTTCTTTAATATTTGGAGTTTGGTGGAGGTATATACTTCGAAAGTATTTAGAAAAATAAATTCTAATTTCTAATTAGTTATTTTGATTCATTAGTTTTTCTGATTCATTTGTTTAGGTTGTAATTCACACTCCGTTCTTTCCTTAAATAAAAAATCAAAAGTCTTTTAGCTGTTAGAAAGAACTCCCCCATTATTTGAACCTGTTGTGATTTTGAAACTGCTGTGATTTTGAAACCTGTTGTCCACTTGATTACTTGACCATTTGGATATTTGGATAGGAGCTTTGGAGTTCAAAGCTACTTCCTTAATTTTGTAGACTACTCATCCTTTTTGGCTAACATATATGTATTACCAGGTATATATGTAGCCCTTCAAAATTTGGATTAGATTTTATTGATTTGAGTGCATGTCCTTTTTCATGGGGACCTGCTGTTGGTGGAGAAGGTGTGCGTACACAGCTGGGCTTACCTTTCCTTAGCATTACCCATTAAATTTACTGTCATGAGTTGCTGAAAGATATAGTTTTCAAAATGAGCTATTTTTATAGTAAACATACTCGTTATTGTCACTAAATATTGGTACTATGGTACTATGATATTTTTTGATCTAAATGAGCTATTTTTACATTTTTGTTGTTGTTATTATTATTATTATTATTATTATTATTATTATTATTATTATTATTATTATTATTATTATTATTATTATTAACTTCTTATTTATGGGTTTTTGATTTCAGACACATTGGCTACTATATTCATAGAACCACTCCCTGTCATCGAGTTTGTAGCTCAAATTTTGGGGAAACAAGTCTATACAAAGCAAATTTCTGATGCTGATAGGATAAAGGTATAGTTGTAAATATCACAATTAAGCTTCTAAATCATCTCTGCTTGATTTTTTTATAATGCATACAAGATATATAAAGAGGCAAATAGCTATTACAGTAAAAATAAATATGTTGCCTATATTGCAAAAAGAGTAAAGTAGGTTGCTATTTCCTGCAATATACCCTGTATCATGTAAAACAATAATATTTATGAACTAGTTATGTTAATATGGAGCAGATAAAGAAAGCTCTTAGAGGTGTGAAAGTTGAAGTTACCCATAGAGGGAATGTAAGAAGGAAATATCGCATCTCAGGGGTGACATCACAACCTACAAGGGAGCTAATGTGAGTTGCTTTAATATCTCCATAATTCATTACCTTTTCTCATTTTTTTATATATATATTTTTTATTTTTTCTGTTTTCATGAAGGTTTCCTGTTGATGAGGAAAGGAATATGAAATCAATTGTTGATTATTTTCATGAAGTTTATGGATTCAAAATAAAATAATTTTGAATTATTTTATTTTTAGTTTTGAACTTTAGGGTAGAAATGTAATTTTGAACTTTAGGGTAGAAAATTAATCAATAAACAGTTTCTTCATAAAGATTTTTTCTTTCAAAATAACCATTGAGACATGTTAACAATTTGTTGGATAAAGGTAACTCTTTTGTGAAAATGGTATCTACTTTCATCATAAGCAGATTCTTAATTGTTGCAATCAACAACACCAATCATCACATACTGAGAAGGGAATAGAAAATGACTTCCTATTAGCTCTTGTTATTTTATGCATTCAATATGTTCTTGCTATATATAAACATTAAATCTTTGTTGTTTTTTTCAAGTTTTTTTTGCAGATATAAAAGTGTTGCATTCTTGATTTCAATTGTTAGTTTTACTACTAATGATGGAAGCTGCTAATAAAGGAAATGGAAGAAGTCGCACGAAATAGATTTTTTGTATGAAAAACAGAGTAGATTAGATGAATGCAAATTTATATATTGTAAGAAATAGAATTATATGACATTAAATTTTATGCAATGGATTGTATTTTTTCTATATGATATTTTATTTCTATTATGAGACATTAAATGCAAATTTAATTTAAAAATTAATAAATATATAAATATATATTTTTTTAAACATTTAAATTTACGATACGCAAAAATGTGTGTCATCTTCATTTATGACATGACCTTTCTTGACAGGGGTTTTAATGATACGCATTGCGTGTCATAAATGCGTGTCGTAAATGTGCGTCTTCTATAGACGACGCGCAAAAGCATGTCGTCTCTCGTTATGACAGGGTCTTCCTTGATACGCATTTGTGCTTCGTCTGAGCGTTTTACGACACGCATTGCGCGTCGTAAAAGACTGTTTTTCTAATAGTGTTCTAAGCATAAATAATAAACTAAACTCCGAGAATAAAGTTCCAACTTGCTTGTGCTCAACTGTTACTCTTCTTGAAATATTTGCAACCATTTACAAATATCAGATTAACCTTAAGTACCAAGTACTTGATTGTTAGTTGAAAAGAAAAATATCTATCCAGTATATGCTTGAAGTACTAGTCTTTCCAGACTTTCTTTTTAGATAAGATAGACAATTCCTCTTCTAGTATCATGTTTCTCCATAAAAGATACATGATCCATCTATGTGGGCCTTCTTGGATTTCTTGTGATAAAAGGTGTCAATTCCATAAACTATGGGCCTCTTAGATCACACAAGGTAACGCTTTCAGACTTGCATTATTCCATTGTTTAAGTTGGCTCGAAACAAATATCATTTTATTGTTGGAATATTTGTTTAACCCGTCAGAACATCTGATATACATCCAAATTATCCAAGACTTCCTGGAAGTTAGGAATAACTGTTCCTAGTAATGATGTTATAAACATCTTCAACATCATAGTGATGGCTCCACCAGGCATCATGTTCAGGTCTTCTCATCAAAGCATGTAGTTTAGGAATAAGAAATTTATGGATGTTATTATTTCAACAAGTGAAAGATGAGGCATGGTAATGAGATTGGATTTTGTTTTATCTACAAAATTCTAACAAAATTCTTTTATTATTTTCAGTAGTTAATACCCTTTTAGTTTCTAAACAACATTAATTATCAAAGTCTAGGATCCAAGTTGCAAAACAAATAAAATGGTTAAGTGACCTTTATCCCGTTCATCTGAATCCAACTGGGTAGATATCTAGTGTAACATCTGCCTTTTGGTATGATTCTTCCGGGTTTAATTTCTATAAATATATTTTGAGGTTTTGGCTTGGCGAAGACGTAGTGATGGAATGACCACGACATGACAACTTGGTTCAGAAAACATGCATATACGAACCACCACGATATGTCAAGGCCTTGGCTACGACGTGGAGGCGAATGGGGTTTAAAACCCTAGATTCTGGTTTAGTGCCTTATTTAAAGGCACTAAATCCTAGGGATGCCTCATTTGGCAGCCTCTATCATCTGAACTCGATCCCCACCTGTCACACCCCCGAACCGATAAAACGGCGGAAACGTCTGGGGGCGGATGTCGTCATGTATAATATCATAACAATTAAATAATAGAGATCAAAGCATTCCAAACATTATATTGATAATTGATAATTTTTTACATTGTATTCGAATCATTGTTTGGCTCCAAAAGCATTAAACAAACATATAAGATGTAATAAAGCTAAGCTCCATCTTCACAAAACCTGTGTGGGTACCCGTCTACTGATTCCATGAAAATACAATTGGTTTTGAAAAAGAGTGTCCACAATTAAGTTGGTGAGTTCATAAGCATTTTGTATGAGAAAGATATGTCTTTTTTCCTTGAAAATGATAATTTGTTTTTCCAGAAAATCCAATATTTTCTTTTAAATGTAATGTAGTCTTAAATACCCTAAGACTGAAAATGTATAAGTATTATTGCACTCTGAAGTAGTGTAATGTAGTTTTATATCTTTATAAAACCATTTGGATGCATGTTTCCAGGAATAGAAATTGTATTGTACTGGAAAGTAATGTATTGTAGTTGTTTCTGTTTAAAACCCTTTTGAACGTATGTATCTGGAACTACTAGTTGTACTGTGAAATAGTGTAGTGTAGTTTTATTATGTCACAACTAGCATTTTAGGGCTAGGTTTCTCATCCATGTGCAAGATAGTTTCTTTGTGTAACTATGTAACACTACGTGTAGTATAAATTAACTTCAATACTATACAAGTTTATACATCCAAAATTTTGTTTCGAGTCGAAACTTCCTCGTATAGCCCAAAAACCTAACCCAATAAGCTATGATCACTCAACTTTGGGCCTTAACCCAAGTTTTCCCGATGCAAACCTCTTATTGGACCAAGATCTTCTTATTGGGCCGACAACCCTTCCAATTGATCTTATAGGATGTAAAACCGCTGTTGGGCTCCTTCTTGGGCCAAAAGCCCTAGTTAACCTCTATATGGCCCGAGAACCCATATTTAGGCCATAGTTGGGCCGAAAATCTTTATTTAACACCATTTGCGCCATAAGATCCTT